CTGGAGGCCAACATGGAGAAGACCTGCACAGCCACTGTATATTTCCCTTTCATGGTCAGATAGGTGGGCAGAAAGGACACCCAGACACTGCAGAAGACCAGCATGCTGAAGGTGATCAGCTTGGCTTCATTGAAGGTCCCAGGCAGCTTCCTGGCCAGGAAAGCCACCATGAAGCAGATGGTAGCCAGGAAGCCCATGTAGCCAAGGGCAGTGTAGAACATGGCCACAGAGCCCTCATTGCATTGCAGAATGATCTGTCCAGGCAGTAAATGCATGTCTGAGTCAGGGAAAGGGGGAGCCATGCCCAGCCAGATGGAGCAGATGACAGCCTGGACACTGGAACAAGAAAGGGCAATGGAGCTGGACAGACTCCTCCCCAGCCACCTCTTCACCCTGTTTCCTGGCTTGGTGGTCAGGAATGCCAGCACCACAGTGATGGTTTTGGCCAGCACAGATGAAACTGCCACTGAGAAGATGATGCTGAAGGTCGTTTGTCGGAGCAGGCAGGTTGCTTTGCTGGGCCTGCCAATGAACAGGAAGGAGGACAAGAAGGACAACAGGAGGGAGACCAAGAGGACATAGGAGAGGTCCCGGTTGTTGGCCTTGACCAGTGGAGTGTCTCGGCATATAATGTAGATCCCTAACACCACAAGTGAGGATACAGAAGAGAGTAGGGTAAACGAAGATAGGAGGATTCCCAAAGGCTCCACATAGGACAGGAAGGTTATCTCCTTGGGGATGCATCGGTCATGGCCCTTGTTTGGGTGCAGTTCTTCTGGACACCTTCTGCAGTGCTTTGCATCTGAAAAGAAGGAAAGTGACTCCTGCACTGCCGCCATCAATGGGGCATCCAGAGTAGCCTGAGTTCTTTTCATATGTACTGAAGATGGGGATGTGGGATATGTCAGGAAACAATCATGTTGTCTTGTAGGGTGAAAGGAAATGTTCCCTGGGAAAGGCAATACACACAGCTGAGAAGTCTTGACTTGTGGCTTCTCTCTGTAGGAGGGTCTCAAGGAATCATATCTCATTGGGACCTTCCAGAATCCCTGACTGTGGGAGACGATGAGTCACTCGTGATCTTGATGGACCAATCATAATCAAGCAAGGAGGAGCAAATGTGT